CGCGCGTGGGGGGGCAGCAGCGGGCAGCGGGGGCCAGCGGAGGGCAGCAGCGGGCAGCAGCAGGCAGCAGCAGGCAGCAGGCTCCCGCTGAGCTCCAAGGCTCTCCCCGGTATTTTATTTTAATTTAGTTTCTCCCCGGCCAGGCAGAACCAGAGCGGGTTTAGAAACTGTTAGGGGCGATTTCTGGGACAGCGGGGAGAGCAGAAGGGAGGTTTTGTAAAATCAAGGTGCAGGGGCTGGGTAAGTGTGCGCGGATAAGGACCACGGTGTTTTTAGGGATCGCATATCCCCAATACGGATGTAGGGAATCCCAGGGGGAATTTTCCCACAAAACTGCAAGTGACATAAACAGAGATGAGTCAAGGAACTGTAGGCATCTAAAATCATAAAGGGTAAATAAAATGCTCTCAAAGCTACTGGGGGAAGAGGCAGCGGTGCCCTGCCAGCCGGGCCTCGGCCGTCCTGCCCGCTGCCGCTGCCCGCTCCCAGGCTCCCCGAAGAGACGCCGTGCCCATTGGCTTTGCGAAGCAGCACCCACGCGATGGCTGGATGAAAAGGCATGAAAGTAAAGGCAGTCTTGCAGAACTCACGACCGTGCACATGTGCTTAAAAAACCCTTGCATCATGGCCTCCGGAGAGCGGAGCGCTGGCTGCGTTACAGTATAGACATAGCCGGCATAAAGTCCAAATGCATCTCTTCCCAGAGGTTAGCATTTCTTCCCAGCGGTTAGCTCCGCTAGTAAGCGCAGGGACAACAAGCAGATCTAAACTTTCTTCTGAAGCTTAGATGCTCCAAATTTTTTCCATGCAGTATCCTTAGTTCTAGGTCTCCTGCAGACCCCCAGGGGCTCATCCAAAGGCTTCTTAAACCCCAGATGCAGCTAAGAGAATCCAGCTGCCACCACGGGCGGCAGCAAATATATCCCATCTTTGGGCTTGTCACACTCGGGTTTAAGCGAATTCTGTGTCCTAGGAACCACCCTCTTACCCATGGCTGTGGCCACAGGCCTCTCAAGGTCTTTGTGAAGTTTCCAGTACGATTTTGATGCAGCCAAAAAGGGAAAGCCCTGCAAACTACTGCAACATAGATTTTATATTCGATCCTGTGTTCAGGGGGTTTAACAAAAACCTTACGGATGCACAGGCTATGAAAATGATGTTTACCAACTAGGGTTTTTTTCAATGCTATGAAAATGATGTTTATCAACTAGGGTTTTTTTTCAATATCAAATTTTAAGTCTTGCAGTTAAAAATCTTAATAACATACAACACTTTTAAGAAATGCAGCATTTCAGATGTTTTATAAAGATAATTCTTGGGAAAAATAGGAAAATATATGCATTATGAAGTGCATGAATTAGGAAGATGTTTTGTACATTACACAGAAAGAAAACCGCAGCCTTGGAAGCAAGATTTCCGCTGTCAGTGAAGAACGTCAGGGCACAGATTAAGCCAACTTCTTGAAATCAGGAACCAGCCATGCAGAACCCACTCACGCCATCTCGTTGTACTTGGGGATCGCTTGTCCACAGCTACTACACAAAGTGCCTCAAAGCACAGGTAGAGATCGCATTGCTTTGGGACATACCGAGCAAACTCCTGTGTCACAGCTACAGCAGCGGTGAAACATCGGTTCCCTAAGGCAGGCGGCACATCTGTGCCTGCGGGAGCAAGAAGCGCCTTTGCTACAGAAGTGAAGATTTGCTGATGAACGTAGAAGATTAAGTTCATCTTCTGTATTGGCTCGGTCAAGTCTTCTGCTAGCGTGGCTGTCTGGGGGAGGAAAGGCAAGGAGAGATGCGCGGCGGGGGGCGAGCGGTGCGGGACGGTTCAGCTGCTGTCCTCTCCTCCCGGCGGGCCGGCGGGGCAACGCGGCAGCGGGCTGGCGAAGAATGGTGGGCACGCAGCCTGATTGCTTACACATGTGCCCACCACGTGCCTGCGGAGCAAAACGGAAAAATAACTTGGTTATAGAGCTTTGTGCCTGCTGCTGATAAATATTTCCAGCCTGGGACTGTGAACATTCTGGAAAATAGTGAATTGAAACAATTTTCTCAAAGTAAGAGAAGAGGCTTGACGTAGGTTGTAGGACTGTAAGCTGTGAAGGTGGCTCTGGAGGAAGCGTAGCAGCTACGGCTCTTTGCACCCTGCCAGTATTTCATCTCCCCCATGAAACATCTCTCGTGTTGTGACATGCAGGAGTAGTACCTGCTTATTTTACTATGTGGATTTTTTCCCCAAAGGATCTGCTCTTCCCAGGAAATTACTTGGGAGACAGTTTGGTTTAAGGCTGGACTCAGTTGTCCATTATTAAACGAAGGTTCTTGTGTGAAAACATTGCTTCTTGGTGTAACACCACTGCTTCAAAAGTGTTACCTAGCGTGGTGCTGGTGTAGTAGAGGCTGAACACTGCGTCTCTTTCCAGGACTACACTGGCTGTGTGAGCAGGGGAAGCTCATGTAAACTGTCCGTGCCGGAGTTAACATCTCTAAAATGAACAAGTTACTCCTGGAAATACGCTTTGAGATCTTCCAGTAGAAGACAACGGTCTTATCCCTTTACTGAATCTGGAAGTCTCAAAGGGATTTAAGGTATAGTTAGTTACGAAAATATGTGACTTCTTAAATTCTACAAATAGACAATTTAATTCAAATTACTTACGCCAAAACCAATTTGAGGCAGCCAGTGGTTATACACGTTGTTAGATGGCAGCGGCGTCTCCGGTGTTTGCAGAGCAGCCGTCACGACGCGCACCCCAGCAGCCCGAAGCAAACCAGCGCTCCTGGCACCGCAGCCCGGGTCGGTCAGGCCAGGGGAAGGGGCTGTTCCTCCCACCGTAACAGCTGGGGGCCCTGGCCTCGGGAAGGGAACATCTGCAAGGTGGGTCTGGCAGGCTGCCCTCTCCTACCAGCAAGCTTGTGAAGCTCCTATCAAACACCAGGTAAGACGTTATCTGGAGGGAAGAATGTATCGATGATCTGTTTTAGCAAAAATCCCCCCAAAACCTACCCTAAACTCTGCAATTCCTAATGCTCCTTCCCAGGGGAACCACTTGCTCCAGACTTTGGGGACCTGGCAGAGAGACAGCACCCACCGACCACCCAAACTCAAACCAGAGTTCATTCAGCCAAAGCAAGCCCAGCTGCCCTGCTCCTGCAGATCCCAGCTAGCGAGGCGGAGCGACAGTTTGCTACCCTGATATCGCACACCTATTTTAATTCAGGCACTTCAGCAGTCATTTGACCGGTCACTTCGCTTAAGGGCGTTTTGCTTCGGGTGTAAATCACTAAGCACAGCTCTTCCAGTTTCAGAACACTTAAAATGATAACTATGTGCTGGTATCTAGGGGTTTTGCCCAAGAACATCATGTATTTCACACCTAGCCTGGCAAATTGCGCTTTTCATGGCCATACCAGGAAAGGCAGAGTTTATAATGGACTTCACACCCCATAGAGCAGTCCCGAGCCAACCGGCAGCCCTGCCACCACCGCTGCCGTGAGCCGGCACGCTGCGAGCGACACGACTTCAGCAACACAAACATGCAGCTGCTGTAAGAGCTGGGGCCTCGTCCTCCTCAGCAGTGGATAACACCCAGCTCATTAGCAACGAAAGGGAATTTACAGTGCATTGCATGTTCCCAGTCCCCTGTAATTCAGCTTCACAACACAAGCCATGTATGACCAGCAGAATTGCTTTCTTTCCATCGGTCGTGTGTGCAACAGTCGGAACTCGCGTTGCTTCCTTCTGTCAGTTCCCACTAAGTAGCCCGAGCGCTCCAGGACCCAGAGAGAGCTCAGCTCTCACATATTTTTATCCATCCAGAAAACTGCCTCTGAAGATTGAAAAGTAATCGGCAATTTTTAAGCTGGTGGAATCATTCTTTATTGTTTATTCTACCAGTGTGCTCAGGAGCATGGTCTGAGCCAACAACGCTTCGCAGCTCTTCGCAGCTCTTCGCAGCTCTTCGCAGCTAATCGAGTCGGGCATGCTCAGGTGGTGCCGATGCACCACGCCATGTAGCCAAGTGTGTTTCTTGGTAAACATCAGTAAAGTATAACATTAACAATCTACACGGGCCTAGGTCTGCTTTGGCTTCACAATAACCTCCCTCAGAGCAGGTATCTCTATCTCGAGATTTTCAATCGGAGCCACTGATACCGGGTGGGCCACAAGACACATCTTGAAGAAGCCTGGCTTCCAGCGAGCATCCAGGTGTGCCAGCTGTGCTTCTGACATGCGGGTGGCAGATTTCCGTCCGTGCAAGGCCGGCTGGAGGCAGCTGAGCGGCAGAGTCCTGATCCAGGCAGTGCTGCAAGCAGAGCCTGCGCTGCCGGGAAACAGCGGCAGAGTGAGCCCCCAGCCATCGCCCTGCCCAGGGGCTGCCACCGGGGCGCTCCGTCATTTTTATATAGGTCAAGGAATCTTTGAACATCGTGTCTCACATCAGACCTTCCCGTGCAGGAAATTTTATTTATAGATATAGACACAGATAGAGATACAGACTTCAGCTTTCACAGGGGAGTGGTTGTTACTCATTAGACCCTTGGACCCAATTTCCTTTGGGATGTGTCACCTTAAAGCATTGCCAGAGACTGCTGTATTGTATCCAGATAGAAGGGGACAAGTGCTATATAAGCAAATTATAAAATGAATCAAGTCATTTGATATTTGAAAGAAAAAAATGCTTCTCCCCGAGCTCATCATTTATTAAAACCTGAAATCAAGAGCTGAGTATTTATAGTTTACTTTTGTTCCTCCTTCTGGAGCTCTCTAGACAGACATTTTGTTCAGTTGGCCTAAAAAATTAGATCTGCATTCAAAAAGAAGAAATCTGAAATGCTTTCCCAGATTTCTTTCCTCTTGGAAGACGTAAAGAGTTTTGCCTGTTGAAGTGCATGATTCTTCCCAGCTAATTAGCTTTCTGGCCTTCAGTAACTTTGGGTTTGTCTCATGGTGATACCAGAGCCCATGCGAGTGGGGATGCTCGGTGCGTCCCGTCCCTGGGGCTGGCGCACCTGGAAGCACCTTACAGCACAGAAAGGAGTTTTCGGCTGGGTCATTCCAGAGCTTGTGTCTGAACCCAGGTGCTGGATCTAGCACAAGCAGGGAAGCGCTGCTCTTGCGTCTGGAAGAGCCAGGGCTCAGGTTAGCCCAAGGCCTTGTAGTCCAGAGTCTTTTCATATTTGCCAAGTTTTCCTCCACGTCTCAGCTCCGTCAGCTGCAAAGCCCATCGAATTCACCGGGGCGTCAGAAGGAGCGGTGGGAAGTTGGCACTTCCCTGGGACCCGTCGCTGAGCCCACCGGGTGGATTGCAAACTGCCCAAGGCACGCGTTTACTCACAGAAAAAGTCAAAGACTTGATTTTTGACAACATATTGTCTAAAGCACAGCTCAAACTCTCATGCTGGAGTCATGGTTGTTTTAAATTGCAGTGGTACAAAGAATTATTATTTATGGGTTATCACCTAAATTGGCATTTGCCTAAGAAACTGGCTTATTTAAAAATCTCCTTCAGGAGTTTTTTCCCAAATCATATAGAATAATTCAACATCCATTACAGAAACAGATCACCTACCATCATAAGCACATCTGGGCTTATTATCAAAGGCTGCTTATTCAAATTAAGCTCATGAGTAGTTCCTTAAAGAAAATGGACTGAAATTAAATTTAGGAAAGATAGCTATAGCGATTCAAACTTCTTGTCTTTGTGCTACCTTAAAGCTTAAATGTTAGAAAATCCTCTCCAAAATCAGCTCGTGTCCAGGGGTAGGCAGCAGCTTTATTCCTTCCATCCCAGTGAAATCCCTACTGAGGAATGAAGCAGGTTAAGTTGAATCCACGGACTTTATATTCACATTCAAAATTAATGGGCATATACCTCCACGTGGAACAAAATGAACTGCATGCTCATTTTTAAAAAGTACTTCTAAACTCTAACTTGAGGGACGTTTGTATAGTGGTCACTGTCCTGAAAAGGCAGAATTCAGCTCTATGGCATTTCTCAGCTGCTATGGTGAGAAAGGAAGGTAAAATATCAAGAAACTAAAAAAATATGTACCCAGCACTCCAGTGCATCAATGTCTGTGTGAACACAGAAATGCTTGTGAAGAAGCCCTGGGGTCCAGCTCCTTAAATTTGTATTTGCCTGTGTTGAGCCTGCTCAGGTGGCAGTGAATATTCCAGCACCAACAAGTGACTTCTTTGGCAGCTTTCTGTTTCAGTGGGGCACTGCTGGGAAGTTCTCCTGGTGTTTTTTAAAGAGAAGAAGAGCTGAAATATGTAGGTGCTATGTGGTGTGTCGGGACTCTGTAGAACCTGTAATCATGCTCTAGGGGTTTTAAATGCTTGCCCTCTCCCCGTATTCATTCAGCAGGCACCCCTAAATGGGGCCTTGGCAGGATCCCACCGCGCAGGAGCAGCCATACCTGCTCCGCACGTGCTCCAGCTCCTTTCTGTCCCTGCCAGACTCAACCCCTTCTTCAAGCCTGATTGCCGCACGTGGGCAAGGACCGCTGTAGTTGGCCAATATACACAGACGACACACACGCACCGATCCCGTGGCGCCGTCAAAAGGAAAGCAGCTACGTAAAGATTCCATGGAGGATTTCCCATTCCCTGGGGGAACAAAGCTCGGCAGTGAACCTGCTGCAGGCTCCCAGCGCTGCCGCGGCGGGGGACGCCGCTGTGACCGGCACTCCTGCGCCCGCCGAGGACGCGCGGGGCGAGACACACACAGCCTCTTCTGTAAGTGTAGAGCAAGGTTCAAAGGATGAGCAGGAAGTTTTAATAAAACTGGTGTGGAAAAGGGCAAATCAGTAACAATTCATCTCCTCAACATGGGCCAGTCCTTGGACCGCTTCCTACAGACTTTCGTTAACAGTAAATACTTCTGTGCTTTTAGTTACATGTCGAAGCAACGTGATGCATGCAGTAAAGTTTTAAAACAGAAGCACTCTGCATAAAGGCGCTTGCTTAGGATAAAAACTGGTGGCAAAAGTGACAGCTGAACTGGTTCCTGTCTGCACCGCTGCAGTTCGTGAATTCTAGTGCAAACATCAAAAAAAAGTTGTTTTATTTACATAGGCAGGACAAAGCCCTGGCTGGAGCTGTGTACGGTGTACATGTCGAAGCAACGTGATGCATGCAGTAAAGTTTTAAAACAGAAGCACTCTGCATAAAGGCGCTTGCTTAGGATAAAAACTGGTGGCAAAAGTGACAGCTGAACTGGTTCCTGTCTGCACCGCTGCAGTTCGTGAATTCTAGTGCAAACATCAAAAAAAAGTTGTTTTATTTACATAGGCAGAAGGACAAAGCCCTGGCTGGAGCTGTGTACGGTGTACTGCAGGGGTCAGGAAATCAGGGGAGGCATCAGCCCTGAAGTCAGAGGTGGCAGAGGGAGAGGGAAGCGATACGGGATGCTGGCTCTGGAGTGAGATCCAGCGACCGGTTTCCTCGCTGTCATACACATTCATTCGGAAGGGCTCAGTACTGTGTGATAGATAAGAGACATCCACGGACCTGACCTTCCAGCTGGAAGGAGGAGTATAGAGGACTAACAATATACATGCAAGGATTGCACTCCTCTGGGACAAAGATACCTCCAGTGGCAAGGTCTCAATCCTGATGGAAACACGCTTGAAGTGTGATAGTTTCTGCCTGCTGTTGAGATGGAAGTTACTGATTTTGACAGATTTTTCTCTGCTTAAATAATAATTTCGAGTCAGAAGACACCACTATGAAAATCTGCTTAGCACACAGCAGCGAACCTCTACCACCGGGTTTTACACAAGGAAGCGTAAACTGCTGAGAAACGCCGAGGATCCGCACTTACGCTTCAGTGTCACAGGATTTTCCTTCCAGCACTAAAAAGATCATTTGTTCATGGGCTATTCAGCAGGGAGCAAGCAAGTGGCTTGCCATACGCGTCCTGCAACATGTGCAATTATACAATACAGCGGTGCTTTGCAACTACACAGCCTCTTTCATTCAAATGCCGCAAATCATTTTGCAAGCATTCATTAAGTAACTTGCACAACATCCTTGCTGATAAAGCGCACATGCTAATCATGTCTCGACATCGCAGGCTGAGGCGCAGAGCGATTCAGGGCCTCGCTCAGGGTCACGCTTTGAGGATCAATAGGAATCACTGGCATCTTCCCTCTCATTACCTAATGCCAGTTCCTATATGCAACTTCCTCTCTTGGGATTTTAAATACAGATGACTGATGGCATCTTTCTGTTCCTGTTGGAAGGGATCCATGTGTCGAATCTGAGTGTGAAAATACCATATTTTGATACAAATATATGCCATAAAAGGAGATCACGCTAGTAGAGCTTGCAAATTCATAGCCCTTTAAGTCCTGAAGCATCTCAAAGAGCTCTTTCCTGAGTATTTATATGATTTTCACTTTACCACCTCTCAAGTGGAACATAACATTCCCTTAATAGCACACAGCAATATACAGCATAGAAAGTGAGGAACCATATCCACGGATGGGGCCAAGAACAAGAAAGGATTTAAACCCAGAAATAGGGTAGTGCTTCTACAAAAGGCTTGATCTAGAATTCCAATTTATTTTTCCCTGCTTACCTGAAACACTATTACGAAAATCTGCCTGATTTTCTGCTTATTACAGAGCAGAGAATTTCAGCCGCGAAGTTTTATACCGGGGAGCATCGAATGTCCCGAAGGGCCGAGTCCCCACGCTTACGCCTCGGTACAACAGTGTCCTTCTGGATCGCCAAAGTGTCGCTCACTCCTGGGCCAGAAAGAAGGAAAAAAGCTACTTACAGTCTAGTGTGCTGAAAACAGTCCCAGAGTACATATCCCAACAGCTTTGCTTTTATTTAGAAAGGGACAGATCAGCAGTATTAATTAACAGACAGTTATTATCGGAAAAGGATGAAGCCTTGGACTCGGAAAGTCCGTAAGCCACTGCTTTGTGCGTGTGCACCAGGGCAGAGCTGCTCTGTACTTGCCTCGCTGCTTGCGGTGGATGTCAGCCTCCTTTGCCCTACGCCTGCAGGCTTTGTAGTGGGAACTTCGGGAATTCCTAAGTCAGAAGCGTCCAGACCACAGTAACGCTGGTAATGAATCCATTAGTTTCTTTAATCCTTTTATTTCGGTTCTCTTGTATTCACAGCGAGATTCTTCGCTGTTTCAGTCTCCTTTGAATGCTCAGGTGCATTTTCTCTCACGTGCAACCATCGCCTGCCCGATCGGCCGCAGCGGGCTCCAGCCAGAGGATGGCGGCCCCACAGCAGCGGCGCAGGAATGGACGGAGGAGATGCTCCTGACCTGCTCCAGCGCCAGGTTCACTGTCCCAGCTTCTGTTCCCCGTGGATGCCACATAAATTAAACACACTGACTTTTTATGGTGTGTACGGGCGAAGGATATGAACACTCAGAGAATTGGGGGGATTGGGTAAGGTGAGAGACAACATCTCAGGCTGCCTCAGCAGTTTCTGGAGGGAACACCTAACAAGATTCAACTGCTCTGCAGCTGCGGGGCTTGCCTCTAGTTTGTATCACTGTTCCCAAATCTATTTGAGAAATATAATATGAGTTTAAAGCTGGTTCAAAAGCAGCGCAGCACAAATCCCTGCTGTCAGTGGCTACAGACTGAGGAGTCGTTTACCGTAAACGATATGACTTCCACCATGTAAAGCAAAGACACTGAATTTTAAAGGTCATGGCGAGGGGTAGCCATCATCATATCTAGGCTTGAGCCCTCTGTCCGTGCCCGAGCCACTGGAGGGGAACACCAACAGGCACTCTGGCATCCATTTCCTTCTCTCCCTTTGTTGTTCTTGCCCGACGTTTTTGATATACTATCTTCCTGACCTTTCTGATGAACAACCTTTTTCACAGACAAGCTTTAAGGGTGGAGCGGAACTGCCTACAGACAGACAGACCTTTTCCCTGCTACTTGTACGGCTGTGCCCGCCATCCAAAGGTCTGATGAAGACAACTGCTCAGCGCGTTCCCTGCTCCAGGAGTGCAGCCAGAGCAGGAGGCATCGCTGCTCCAATCTCCCCTCCCACATGTGGTTTGTGTAAATGCGGAGTTTCTGTTCTGTTTTTTAATTCGATGTCCTCCCGTGAATGCCACCGGGGGTAGAAATTTGGGAAAACAAGTTCTAAATGTTTGGATGTTCAGATCCTGTTAATCGAGGCTGGCTTTCTTAGTGAAGGAAGTTGAGCAGCACTTTTCATTTCATTTTCATTTCTGCGCAGAGAAGAGGACTCCAGAAGTTAAGGGCTAATTTTATTAAATTATTATCCATTGAAATACACCCAGATCAGTGCAATAACTCAGCTAATGGCATCCGTAATTATTTGATTACAGTTGCTGAACTATGGATCTGTGAATATTAAAAATATTATACACTAATATAAAGCCAAGGGATAATCTAACTGTCATGAATTCAGATAAAGCAGCTATAAAAATTTGTATTTGCAGTATTAAGCCCTCAAAATGAAAACCAGCAATACATCTCTTCCTTTCCCAACTCAAATTCTATGTGATGCTTCTAGGCTATTTAGAGAGACATATTACTATTTAGAACAGATTAACTATCTTTTTTCCCAAATAGTTCAATAGCTATTGATATCTATTATCTTCTCCTCCACCATCCTCATTCCCAACATTCCTAGAGCTGCCAGCTGTGGCACATCATGAGCTAAGACACTAAGCCTGCTCCAGACAAGGAAATTTAGACACGTCTTAGCCCATGTGTACTTTTACAACCCGTTTCCACTGATTCACAGATAAGGACCTGGCACAGGGATCTCTAGACAACAGAAATAAATACAAACACACCTTTTGAAAGAGCGACACGATGATCATTCTCCCCAAAATGAAGAAAACATTATGTAGAAAACATGATGTGACATGTGGACTAGAATAATTCAGTTTTTTTTAAAAAAGAAGAGGTGACAGCAGCAAAGCATGACTTCAATAAAAGAACGGTAAGAATTCATGAGAAGCGGGGAAACACCAAATAGCTGATCATATTGCTCTCTGGGACAATGATAGGGGTATGGGGTATAGGAAAACCCCAAATCTAAAAGCAGTTTACAAAATATCTAACAAGATCAAACTGGTGCCCCTGAAAACACGTCACAGGTACCTTCTAGACAGGTTTTACTCATCATAAACACTAAGCTACCAAACTTGTCCTGCTAGGAGTGGTCAAGTACCGTCTCTTCAAACCTCTGACGGGGCTAAGCCAGCAAAGAAAACCAACCCAACCCTCCAAACTGTGATAAAGCCCAGAAATTCCCAGCACGAGCAGCCCCTCCACGTCCCACAGGCTACCGGGCGCTCGGCTTCCAGCACCTACCCACAGACCCAACGCCTCGCCTTCTGTTTTGCACAAGGGTATTTTAATGGAGATAAGTAACTGCCTGGGTGGCACCGGCGATAATCCATGGGGCTGGCAGAGCGCGTGCTGACACTGACTACTGAAGCTGCGCACCTCGTGGGGACAGAGGGAATTAAAAATAAATTAAAATGGAGTTGTTTAGCATATTTAGCCTTATTTGTTCTACAGGTTGTACTAGAATTATTTAGGATTTCCTCATCATCTAAGTAGATATTTTCTCTTTAGGGAAGGCCAATGTCTAAAAACCCCTCCTTCCCTCATTTTCTTCCTTCCTGTTTCCTCCCAAAAAGACAATTTGAAGGAGAAGGAGTTAGACAGTTAATATTTCACCTACAGAAGAGAAGAACAACTTAAAACACAATATTCAGCTCTTGTTGCTTGATGGCTTTATATTGATTCAAGTCTGCTCTGTCTCACCCTCTCCACATCACATGAGGCCAACGAGCCCGCTCAGGAAACAGATTTGCCTGAAAACTAGTATTTTTTCAAACATAATAAGATTTAAAAAAATTGTTTTCAGTCTGATCTAGTTTGATACGTGGTACACAATTGTGAATGCTGACATAAAAGAAACGGAGGGAAAATTTGGCTGGGGAGGAACTTTAGGTGAGTGCCCGTACTTTGCCTAAACCTCTTGTTGGTTGACACTGCCCTCATCTCTCATCAAGTGAAACAGGGGTGAGCTGCCGTGGTACGAGTAGGCAGAGATGACCCAAACTGCCTCGAGCTGCAAGGCCAGAACCAGAACTTCAGATCTGAAGTAAAAGGCAAAGAAAATACAGAAAGAAACTTTTTTAAAGAAAGGAAGCTTATCCCATTTCCATGTTTATTGGATTTAAGGGTCTGTTTCTGTTCTATTCCCAGGAGTAAAATACAGGAAGAGTTACAAACTTTTGTTGACAACAACTGACTATAGCGATGGCGGGGAGAAAAATATGCTCTGGAGTAAGTGCTCCGGCGTCCTCATAAATCTGCACTGGAATAGACTCTCGCCATTGTATTTCTAAGGCTGTTACAGCAGAGCACAGCAGGACATACTCTCACCATAGCAACCCAGAAAACTGCCCCATCAGAGGACGTTTCCACTCTCTGCAACACCAATCTTTCCCTGCCCTTGCTTCTCAAAGGAAATTGATATATTCGGGTTTTGAAGTAGCACTCAAAGCCTGAGTCCCGGCTCCAGGGCCACTTAAAGTCTCCTGTACTCCATCGAACAGCAGCAACGGGAAACATTAGTAGCATCTCTCTTGTGCTGCAGAGAGTTATTGAAAAATGGGGTCAAACCTGGGAGTCCTTCAATACACACCAGCCTTCTGGGGCCCAGCGCTCACTCTTTATGGCGTGTATTGGAGAGATTTAATGATCGGAGATGAAGTTCTAGTTGTGTTCTTCACAACATTACCCTCCTCCACTGTAGGACTAGCCCGCACCACGAAGAAGGGGGTTCAGTTCACAGCCTGAGCCCTGATGAAAGTGGTTTTAGACCCAGTCACTGGGCTGCACCGTGGGAGCTGACGTTGGGGCTCCCAGGCAGCCCTGCTGCCCCTGCTGCCACGCTTGTGGCGTCTGGCACACACCAGCCAGGCAGCTAGAGGTGATAATGTCAGATTGCATCTACTGATCCAGAACTTGCCTGTTGTTAAACCTGGTATTCTTCAGTATTTTCATCATGTTTCATTTTAAATATTTTATTAACACTTCATGAGAAAATCTGTTCTTACGCAATCTTATGAAAGAAGGTATTTCATTAAGCACTTACGGAGTCAATAGGACATCAGCCTTATTTTCCCTGAACTAGAAAACCAGGCATTCCAGAAGAGAAACCGCACACATTATCCACCGAGACCAAATGACTCTATTACTGTCCCCAGTTTACTACATGTCCTGTTTGCTCAAGACAAGTTGTTAAGAAGATTTTAAAGAACTGACACTGCGGGTATCCCTGAAGGGCAGGTATTAATTCCATACTTCTTATGGAATAGAAGTGTATTATTTATTTCCTTTATATAGGTGGAGAATTAAGCAGAGAAGCTAGAGGACCCATTTTGGGGAGTGCTGTGCATCCTACTCCCACACAAACTAAATGAAGTCTTCCCTGGCCAGGGTCCCAAGAGATTACTGGTATTCAAACAGCTATTGAATCCTCCAATAGCTGAGATGCAGAACTACAAATATTATATTTAGCACTTGAAATGCTTTAAACTTGAACAGTCAGTCCTTACAACATGGGAGTAGGTGGTTTGATTTTTTTTTCTACTCAACTGATTAGAAGAGCGTGGGGAGAGATGTACTTTTTGAAATAATTTGGTCAAGAACTGAAAGGAGATTGCTATTGAAGCTGGAATCTGTGAGCTGATGTCTATCCTCTGTTCATATTACTGCTTACCTCTACGCACAGCAGTGCACGATATGCCCACTTGCTCTTTCAAAGAAAAAGTTCAAATTCAGTTGTCCTTGAGCGAGCAAAATATTCAGTGGCTTCAGTGGGGGTTCTGCTGAGCCTCAAAGGTTTGAGCAGGGAGCTTGCTTTCCATGGCTTATTCAGCCATCTCATGCTGCTAAAAACATTTCCTACCGAGCTCTGTAGGCACAACTGAATCGGACCCTGCTGCACTCCTGTTCGTGCACATCCAGTCCCGTTGTGAGTACTGTCAGTGAGGCTGAGACAGGCTCAGCTGTAGGACTGATCTGTGCTGCCAGATAAAAGGAGGACATTTATTCTCATTTGCAACAGTATCAGGTATAAAAAATTATGGGATCTCTGCTCTTCAAAGCTACCTCCAGCAGTACAAAATGAGTGTTCCCATGGCTGTACCCAACAAGGCTATGTAGTAACCTAATGCTCTACCTATGACCCGGCTTCTTGATGTCAGAAGCGGTGGGTTATGTGACATTACCAGCTGTACAGAGGTAAGCTAACAACTCA